AGAGACAGACGGCAAAGTGAGATCAATTAGAGGAAATCAAAATTGAAACAAATGAGTGGGCGGATCATAACCTAATAAAATTAAAATGGAAAGGCCAAACAAGAAGAAAAAGATGGATAATGAACCCAAATATCGTAAAAGAAACAGAATACACACAAATGCTAGAGAAAGAATTAAAATTATTTTTTAGAACAAACAAAAAAGAAGACACCTCAATACAAAATCTCTGGGATATCATGAGAGCATACATAAGAGGCCTTATGATCGCCTATGTAGCGAGAAAAATCAGAAAACAAAAAGAGCAACAAGAACGTATGCAAAAAGAACTTAGGGAAGCCGAAGCTGAATTACAGAAAGACCCAAAGAATAAAATTAAAAAAGAAAAGAGATGATAAAACATAAGATTAATTTAATAACCCCCCCAAAATAAGTGCAGAAAATTAAAGCGACCAAACAAAATTACTTTGAGCAAGCCAACAAACGTGGACGATGGCTGGCATACAGATTGAAAAATGAAAGAGAAAAAAGGATGATGTATCAACTAAAAGATGACGAAGGAAATGTTCAACATAAACGGAAGAAAAGAAGCAAATTATTCAAGAATATTTCACAAAATTATACGTGCAAGATAGTATGGAGGAAACTAAGATAAAACAATATTTAAACCCGGAAAAGATCATTCCAATCTCAAAAGAACAAAGGGAGGCGATAAACAGGCCGATAATAACAGCTGAAATAGAATTAGTCCTGAAAAACCAGAAGAATAAAACCCCAGGACCAGACGGAATCCCAGTGGAGATATACCAATATAATCAAATAATATTGGAAGAAATAAGAGTGGAAATGTTTAACGAAGTTTTAGGAAAAGCCAACGTGCCTGAATCATGGATGGAAGCAATAATATCACTAATCCCTACAGAAGAAGCTAATTTACAAGAAATTCAAAACCTCAGCAAAGAGGGAGGGATACAACATCATCTATCTCCAGTCTACATCACAGTCTTTCAACAGTTCCTAGAAGGCTCCACACCCATTTGCATCCCTCGGATGACCCTGAGGACACAGAAAAACTTCCGGGTGGCTTCAAGGACTCTCTAAAAGAATGCGAATGACCAGCTGTCTGCAAGGAGTATAAATCCTTTCATTCCCTACCATCCAGTCAGAGCTGAAAAAGTTTCTTGGATGAGAAGCAAAACGTCTTCAAAGAAAAACCAGAAAGTGCAGTTGCTTCTTGAAAAAGCACCTTTGGGATAATAATTACAGTGATTCACTTAACAGTTTAAATGAAAGGCAAAACTCCCTTAACTCCCTGTCTTGCTCAGCAACGCAAATTTTGGGTTCAATTGTGCTGGCAAGTCAAGGATTTACCTGTATGTCTGGAAGCATAAATTTAAGTATATGTTTTATTCTAGAAGCATTTTGCACAATGTCAGATACTACTCTCAATTTTAAAAAAAAAGCACGGGATTCAACTGCTCCGAGTCCCCTATGTGTGATTTGTGATAAATGTGTTCAATAAATAATACATGCCCAGCTATTTTTTTATGAGCCCCCCCCCCCTCCATGGAGAAGCAATGCAAGCAAGGATAATTCTAGACTGTATTATGCGAGGGTTTGGTGGTTTTAAAAGCCAAGGTGTGTTAAGCCGATTTTATTTTGCGCAGGATACAAACATTCAACCACTCCACACACATCTTACGAAGAACTGTAATTGTAACCTATGCTCTGCCCGGGAAGCCTCCCACACTTACCCATAATGCTCCTGTCCTCCTCCACAGAGATTTTCAGCCTCGGTCCTCCCATTCGGCCCAGCTACGATAGAGATTATTGAGCACAAGTCCGAGAGTGGACGCTCTGGCTTCTCGAGTCGGAAAAGCTCTACGGTATCTGGGCTTTGCCGGAAGAGTCCCGGAGGAAATCGGGAGCGGCGACTGTAATCGGTATGGAAAGGAGAAGCGGGGCGGTGGGGGGAGGGGAAGCGGGAGGAAGGAGGTGCCGGGGGACCGTTGTTACGTCGAGGGGAAGTTTTAATCTCTCTTCTTTTTCCATCGAGCTTTTCAAAGCCAGAAGGCTCCAATGGACGCAGCCAGAGGATGCATATTCCTAAATGACTCTTAACGCTTCCAAAGGATATTTTTTTGTGGTTGTAAAAAAGCTTCACGGGGCGGTGCAAACTGTTGTCCCCTTGACCTATTGACCATCTTGTTGCGAGTTTGGTGTCTTAAACATCTTGGTTTGCCAAATGCAGTTTTTCTTTCGGGAAAATATTTGGCGACATGCTGCAAATGGCATAGGGCAGTGGTCTCCAACCTTGGCAACTTTAAGACCTGTGGACTTCAACTCCCAGAGTTCCTCAGAACAGCTGGCTGAAGAACTCTGGGAGTTGAAGTCCACAGGTCTTAAAGTTGCCAAGGTTGGAGACCACTGGCATAGGGATCTAATACTATGAGTTTGATACGTCTTTTTAACAGGCTTTATTATGCTAAGCACCTGTTCCCTAGACCTATCTCAAAAGTACCCTTGACTGATGTGTTGAAAGTGGATTATTTAAAAAAGAATGATTTGTGGAAGAATAGGATGGAAAATCAGTATTGCGAGAAGAATTAATTGACTGGCGAATGATTGGGAAGTTTTAGGGTGTTGTCCATATTTCTGAAATGACTCGTGCTAACTGTTGAGTAATTTTTTTTTTTTACTTTGAATTATTCTCCTGTTCTTGCAGGCATGTGCCATGAATTTTGGATTTATCATAATGTTTGTGTGCTAAATTTCTAATTTTATTGATGCATAGCATATCTTGCCTCTATATAAGATGCTAAATCTGAGAATCTCTAGTACTTTCCTAGATAACTGATCCTCTGTTTCTGGTGATCTTTTTTATCACTATATTTTTCAGAAGAGCTTTATAACATGACACAATTATTAATTTGATGAGTTAGATTTATATACTGTTTCACAGTGCTTTATAGCCCTCTTTAAGTGGTTTACAGAGTCAACATGTTGTCCCAAACAATCTGGGTCTTCATTTTACCAATGGCAGAAGGATGGAAGGCTGAGTTAAAACTGAGCTGATGAGACTCGAACTGCCAAACTGCTGGCAAATGGCAGTCAGTAGAATTAGCCTACAGTACTGCATTCTGACCATTGTGCCACCTTTTTAAGCTGGTATTCTCCATGCATTGGAAGTACAACTTGGCATTTGGTCAGAATGATTTGGAATTTTGACAGTTATGTCCCCAACATATGCTGTGTGGTTGGAGAAGGCTTTTCTAGGTGAAGAACAAGTATATTTCTCTTAAAAATCTTTATTTACATATGGAACCTGATGTATATAATAAAGTGATGCTCTTTCCTTCTTCTGTTCCAGGTAATATTATGAACCGTAATGTTTGTTTATAAAATAAGATTTTTGGAGGGAAAGAATTTATGGACAGTTTCTGTTTTTATAAGTAATGCCAATTCGGTTTCTTTTAAATAAATATGTGTACCTAGCATTTAATACAAAAAGTATTTGGAATGGACAGAGAACTGGAACCCTACACTATTTTTACAGACCTAAACTTTTTTGGAGTATAAGCTATGCTTCTCCTTTTAGAGTGTTACACATAAACAGGCAATACTATAAATGGACAAGAGGCAAAACAGTGTGGCAGAAGTACTTCTACTGCCATTACTGTTTGGGTTACAGAATTTCTAAATTTAGCACTTCTAAGGAATTGACCAAAAACAATCGCATGTCACGATTGAAGAACACTTTAGAATCTGTCTCCAAGGCTGTGTCTGGCACTCACAGTGAACTAGTTTCACGGTTAGCTCGTCTAAAACCTCAATCTGCTATACTGAAAAAATTGGTTAAAGCTGATGGGAAGGAAAATAGATTTTTCATCAGCTCAGAAGAATACAGAGACGTCCCAAGTGAAATCTATCAGGAGGATTATAATGATAACTTACATGAGAAAAAGGCTGTGCCTGCAGATGGAATCTTAGCATCGGTCAATACCAGTCAAGGTTCTTTGAAAGATCCCTCAGAAATCAAAAATAGTCTTTTTCATGTTAGCAAATTTGCTACAAACTTTGGGGAAACATACAACTTTGTAGCCCATCATATCAACTGGTATTTTAGCACTGTTGGAATGGATCAAGAGAAGAAAGGGAGTGTTCGCCCCCCTAACCCACCCAAACAAGGCGAAGAAACATTTAATTCCTCAGAAGATGACATTTTAAGTGATGAAAACAGGATGAGTGCAGTATCTGCTTTAGTACCTGCCTCACAGTCACCAAATGCTGACAAAGTCCCTTCTCCTTCAACTTCCAGCAAAAAGGGTATTTCAAGTTTTCTTTCTTATCCTAGTAACAGTGTACAGGCCTTTATGGATAGTTACATTGGAGGCCTGGTACCTAAGTTACGATCTGATACAAAATCTGCTGTGCAGGAAAAGACTAAAGAACAGGAACAAGAGGACATGTTGAAAGATGATAAAGAGGCTAAACGTGCAGAAGAAAAGGAAAAGAGGCTAAATCTTCAAAGAGAAAAGGTACATGTCTTTTTTGTAGATAATAATAATTTATAACACACTAATTGGCAACAATACTAGAAAAAGGTTTAATCAACAGCAGTAAATTGAAATCCCCTTCATCATTATTATTTCAGGGGAAACTCTCAGTGCTGTGATGGCAAACATATGGCACGCGTGCCACAGGTGGCACACGGAGGCATTTGTCAGGGGGTGCAAGGCGTTGCCCTGTCAGCTGGCCAGCACGTATGTGCGTACTGCCCAGCTGACTTCAGCCTTCTTTTGAGATCATTTTTCGCCCTCCAGAGTGCAAAAAACCTGTCCTACAACAAACCAGAAGTTCAGGAACGTACCGGTTTGCTCGTAGGGTCGTTTTTAACCCTCCGTAGCTTTCAGGAAAGCCTCCTGAAAGCTCCAGAGGGCTAAAACTGGCTCTATGAGCAAACCGGAAGTACGTTGCCGAAGTGCCGGTTTGCCTATAGGGCCGGTTTTTCATGCTCCAGGGGCTTTAGGGAAGCTCCTGAAGCCTCTGGAGGGCCTCCGGGTGGGTGGGGGAGGCTGCTTTTGCCCTCCCCAGGCTCCTATAAAGCCTCTGGAGCCTGGGGAGGGCGGAAAAAACACACCAAAATGGGACCACTGGTCGTGCGCCCATGCGCGCTGGGGTCATGCGCATAGCATGGGTGTGGCCCACCCGCCCATGACCCCCTGCTTTTGACATGTGAGCCAAAAAAGGTTCGCCATCACTGTCTCAGTGTATAACTGAAGTAGGCAGCCAAGGCTGTCCTCTGCTGTTGTAGACTTCAAGTTCCATCAATTCAACCAGCATGGTAGAGAGCAAGGTAATATTTAGAGGACATGAGGCTATTTATTCTTGGTATATTTAGAGCCATACACCCTCATAGTTACATTACAATATTCATTGTAAAATATATTGGCATAAATGTTTACAGTGGTAACCTAAATGAGGACAAACAATTTATTTGAAGTAATTTTGTATTAAATAGACTAGATGGGCACCATCTTACTCTACAGAAGGTACTATTCATGTATATGTAAAAAGTTCATTGTTGCACATCACTATCATGGGAACAGAAGATGATCCATTGTAAATGGATTTATAAAACCGGTTTTACCTGATTATTTCAAGGCAGCCTTTAGTGATCATAAATAATACACAGTTTTGGACTTGGGTAATTCTGTGTTACAGAACTGCTGTAGACTTACTAGAATTATTATACAATATGAATACATATCCGCATCCATGAGCGCAGATGCACAAAGAAAAATATATGTATTAAACCCTTTAAGTGTTTATTGAACAATATGCTACTGAACACCTAATTTGTAAAAAAAAAAAAAGCTAAACTTATGTTTCCTTTATGATGTCTACATTTTGGTCAATTCTCCCAAAGTCATAGCAAAACTGTAAAGGTTATTAGTAGCCAGAAATATGATTATTAGATCATCTTTCCTAAATTG